CATGGGCAGCCTGTGTCCTTCCAGATGTTTTGGGCTATCTCAGCCCTAATCCCCATAGCTAAAGATGGGGGTTGGTGCGAGCTGTAGGCCAAAACAGGTGGAGGCCCAGGCTGACCTAGAGAGTCTTTTTTTGTTTTTGTTTTATATAATTTTATGGAATTTGTTATTGTTTTATTGTTTTAAATGTATGTTTGTGAGCTGTCCCGAGATGCCAAGGCATGTGGTGACAGCATATAAAAGTTTTAAATAAATAAATAAATAAATCTCCCTGATATTTGAAAACCTAAGCACACAAGAACAGAAGGAAGATGATGAAGTCAGTGGCTGATTATACACACACGGTGAACTTGACCACTGTTGTACCTAGTTAAAAAGAAGAACATTATTAAAATAACATGCGAATAGAATAACAATATTAACAGAACATACCAGTTTAGCTCTGTACACATCTTAAGAGCAAATGTCCTGAGCAAATTCTGAATCCCTCTGCTGGGCCTTGGTTTCATGATTTTCCTCTCCACACTTTGCAAGAAACATCCCCATTCTTCCACTCCTGTATTGACTCATCTTCTAGGCCAGCACCTGTGAGAACTCACCACACAGCTGGAATTCCCCTTTTGAGTTTTTCTCAGCTGATTCTATTCTGAAAAAGAGAAGTTAGGTACAAGAAGAAGAAATTACTCCGGAGTTGACAACAAGATTACTCTTTATTTATTACCCAGAATTAATATTATAACAATGATTAACAATGAAAACTTGTGCTAACTCTGTGTTTCCTTGTAAGCTGCACAGCTGTTATTATCCAAGCTGAGGTCATCACATTAAATCAAGGATGAAATGGTGACATAAACATCACTTATGTAACAAGTCTCACTTCCCATTGAGCTCTTCTTCCCTTCCCCCTCCCTGCCTGCCTTTTTAGCCTTATGTACATATTTCACCCTCAGTCAGTGCATGACTCACTTGCCCAGTTTCATTTCTGCTGACAGTACATTCACGTCTATCTTCATGCAGAACCTCATATGGTCACCTGAAATCATGTGCAGCTGAGAAGCAGAACTGAGACCATCCATAAAGAACATCACATTAGCAAAATGAAACTTTCCATCCCTGCATGCATGGGCAGTTCACAGTTTGCTACACTGGAATCTCTCCTGGTTGTTCAAGGCTTTGCTGTTCTCTCCTTATCTTTGATGCGTGACCTTCTGTATCAATGCTCCCTTTCCTCTAATCAAGGACTGCCTGGGATGGAGGCCATGCTTAGTGAAGCTGTAAGGATGAGGAGAATGAATAAGTGAATGTCAAAACATTGCCAGTGAAACTCAGTAGCTTTGGTAGGCTTAGCATCGCATCAGTACATGGAAGGAGTGAGAGCTACTCCATACATTATTTGATAGCAAATGCATGCTTTCCCTCATGGATGCATGTGCTACAGAGATGCAAGCAATCCTGGCTTTCTAATGCAGAAATGCTTAACCCAATCCTGTAGGCTCCACCTCCCTTGCATCTGGCCCTGCCCTATTTTCCCTTCAGCCCCCCCCCCCCCCCCCGGAATGCTCCCTCCCAGAACTTCTCTGAAATGGAGTTCTCCCTTTGGGCTGAAAGAGGATTACCTCCCCACACTTACTTGATAGCAAATGCGTGTTTTCTGCCAAGCCTGCATGAGCTGGAGAGACATACTTCCAATCATGAAGTGCAAAGAACTGCTTCCTTTTATCTAGCTGGGATCTTCCACCACTCAGCTAAGTGGCAGGACCCTGGCTTCCAGCATTATGAGTGAGGTCTTTATCCACTTTTTCCACACCATGCTCAATTCATTGTTTTATCTGCCAATTCATGCTTCCCCCCTATGCAAGGGCTTTCCTACTTCAATCAAAGCACACGAGCATCCTCTTTTATTCCATACAGTTATTCTTTCAATGCACATCAAGCGGAAGAAGGTTAGACAGATGTTGTCTCTGATCCAAGAGTGCAGTGACCTGAACCATGCTCTTTTTCCAGCTGATCAAATATTTCCTCTTGTGCCTCAGCAACTCCATCTATCAAAACAGAATAACATGTCCTTAACTAATCAGGACAAGGAGGGGGGGAGTTCACTTGTCCAGAGGTTGCCATGGCTTTGCATGCAACACAACTGAAAACTGAAGAAACACCTGGGTAACATCTGCCCATGTTGCCCCCCCCCCCAATTTCCAATAAATGTCGCGACAGATACACAGACAAGCCTTGTGCTGTAACCAGGGGGCCTTGTCCATCCCAGGCACCCTACTTTAGATTTGAGGATGCTTAAAAAGCAACCAAGCCATCTGTGCCAAAGAGGACCAATATTTTATTGGATACAGTGATGAAAAATGGGTAGAAGTTTACCAACAGCAAAAGAAAGCTTACGAACGGTGCCCGGGCAGTTCCTTCCCCAGGCTGAGAACAAATGTCCATTGCCATGGATTTCGTAATGCTTCTTTCTCCCACTGTTGCAGAGCCTCTCAGGATGCAGCCAGGCTCCAGCGCCCTCCCTGGGAACAAAGCTGCTCTGGTAAAGTGAGCAGCTGCTTTCTCACTGCAAAGTCAGGCTTTAATGACTGCATGGGTGGGGAAGGCAGCTTCAAGGCCATTATTTCTGGCTATTTTCCTCTCAAGCTGAAGGTGTGGCACTGACTTTTGGACCCTGGGTAAGGACTTGATACTCCATGTTGACCCTCAGTAACCTCCTTGCTATTATTCAGCTGCACCCTGCTTGTCTTTGTGGGGAAGGAGAAACACTCAGCAACCCCCCATCTAGGCTAAGGCATCCCCGTCCTTGTTTCATGGATGGGCAATTTACATCAACATATAGAAAGTACATGCTGGAAGGCGAGATGCCAGACTCCCCTGCCTGGCTGCCATGTCTTTTCAAATATTCATAACATTTTTTGTTCATTCAATTTCTATACCAACCCCAAAGCCAAAGTTCTCTGCATGGTTTGCAACAGTTACAAACATAAAGTGCACAATAAAAATTTACAAGTTTAAAAGTACAGCACTGAATGGAATTGAAAGTTGAAGGAGAATCTGGCAGCAGAACAAAGATTTAAAGTGCAGTAAAGTAAAGGCTCAGTCCTTTGCAGCTGCCTGTAACCAGAAGCTTATCGGATCCCATTGAGCGTGGAATCAGGGATTGTCCCTGTGCTCTCGCCCCCTTCAAAAATATTTAGATAGCTGATTTCAGCTGTTGAAATGCTTTTTCCCTCCTCATGAGGGGGAGGGACAGAGGCACCACTTGGATTTGACCCTCCCCCAGAATGCCTCCCCCCCTCCCCCGGGCACCTTTCTCAAAGTGGTCTTCTGTCCTCAGTCCTCAGCCAGGGTGAAAAGAACCACACGGGCAGTGGGGCAGGAGGCTACTCTGAAGGCTTTTCCAGTGCTGCAGTAGGGTCTCCGCCTTTTGCTATGATTGACCAGACAGCATTCACAGGTCATAGGACTGTGGCTTACAAGATTAAAACCAACAGAGATGGAACGACTAAAATTCCTGGGAAAATGAGGTCTTTTTGCAGTGCCCAATGCAGAACAATGTACATGCCAGGTGAGCCTCTCTGGGAAGTTCATTCCACAGCTAAAGTGCTGCAGCAGAAAAGGCCCTCTTCTTAGTAGCCACCTTCCTCACTGTCCTTAGCTGTGACTGACATTCACCACACCTCCTGACATACATCACATCGAAGCAGCCCTGATAACTGCCACTGCAGGCAACCATTTTATGGATAGGACAGCAGGCAGAGCAGATGCCTTGTTCATAGTCAAGAAACCTTGATTTGCACCCGTCCTTCTGATGATGGTCCTCATAATTTTACTCTGTAGCAGCATGCAGAAAATAAGAAATGGCTGCCACTCATAATTCACTGTAAAGAAAGATGGAGGCCATTGCATCTTTCCCCTTTTTTCTGGGCACTAACCCACACTCTCTCATAAGATGAGAAACATTCTGTGCTTGCATTCAGATTCTCTCCTTAGCATCGGAGTGTGCTGGACACTAACAATGTATGCAAATGAACGGTTAACAAATGCCATAGGTCATCTTTGCCCTGGAATGGTCCACCTTGACCCCACCTGTAAAGTGGAAGGAGCTTGGTAAAAAGGTCTGAATGAGCCCAGGGCACAAGATTTATATATTTATTTATTAGATTCATATGCCACCCTTTTTCTTACAACAGACTCAAAGTGGCTTACATCATTCTCTTCCTCCTGCTCTTAATCTTATTCCCACAACAACCCTGTGAGGTAGCTTGGACTGAGTCTGTGACTGTCCCAAAGCCACCCAGTTGGCTGCATGGCTGAGGGAATCTAGAACCCAGATCACCTGAGTCCCAGTCCCACATTCTTATCCACTACACCAGACTGACTCTCAGATGAAAGAAGATGGAACAGAACAGCTTGCATTTAGAACATTCTGGATAAGTTGTAAGAGATTTTGGAAGATAAAGTAGTTGGATTTTAGAGACACTGTTGTTACTTCTGGATCCATGCACACTGCCTGCCTGCTTCTCAGCATCTATTTCTGCAATACCTACTCAGATGAAGAGGGAACCAGTTTAGTGCAAATCATTATGTCTCCATTGTTGTCTCTCTTCCAAAAGGAAACCAAACATTTCAGACAAGGCTTCCAGAGAAGGCTTTTATTGTGCAATTGCACTGCCCCAGGTGCATTCAACTGGAAACCCTGTGTTGTTTTCCCATTACTTGTTCTGTCTTTTTTCTTATGAGATTCATTAAAGAGGAAAAGATGGAATAACTGCACAGTGCCTTTTGATAGATAGTATTAAGAGCCTCCATCTACAAGCACCCTAAATACATGGCGAGCTGCTCTATAGTTCCACCAATCTGTATAGGGGAAGTACAAAATAATACACGAAAACAATACACATTAGTTTCCTGTTTCAATCACCAGTATTAGTGTAAAAGGAAGAAGCTCCTACTGGGTTACCCACAGCTCAGACAGAAGTACAGCTACACCACTGAGAAGCTTGTTTGTCTTCCACACTGTTCCAGCCATGAATAAAATTACAGGACTCTTTCTCTCCTTAACCCTTTCCCTTTGGGCCTGCTGGGCACTGGAACCATTGGTGCAGCATCCTCATGCCTCTGGATTTCAAGAATGCGTACAAGCCCTGGAACTTCCTGCCCTGGAAGTTCTTCCAGGAGGTGGCTGGGACAATCTAAGGAACCTGGATATGGGGAGAGTGATTAGCCTAAATTACTCTTTGTGCAGAACCACAGAAGATAGAGCTTACATCCTCCCTAATGAGGTCTTCACCATTGCCCGTAAACAGAGCTACCTGGAGATGAACGCAGAGATCATAGAGTCTTGGATGGATTATCAGTGTACTACCGCAGCATCCATTAATGCAGAGGTGTCCTCTTCTTTCATCAATGGCAGGTTCTCCACTGACTTCCGCAGGATGAAAACCCACCAGGTAAGAGGCCAAGCTGTAACCACCAGGGTTCAGGTCAGAAACTTGTTGTACACAGTAAAGTTTGACCCTTCAGCCAAGTTAGATGAAGGCTTCCGGCAGCAACTCATTACCATTGCTAGCTATTTGGAGAACAACCAGACCCGAATGGCTGACTACTTGGCAGAGATCTTAGTGCTGAACTATGGCACTCATGTAATCACTGGCGTGGATGCTGGAGCCAGCCTCGTCCAGGAGGACCACATCAAATCCACCTTTGTGAAAGACAGCCAGTTCATGAGAAGTTCCATCACAGCTGCTGCTGGCATCTCTCTCCAGAACATCATCAGCTTCGGCAGTAGCATTTCAACAGGAACAGAGGACAATTTCACCAGGCAGTATCAGGCTAACCGCATCAACTCTAGGGTGGAGAGCATTGGAGGGGTGTCCTTTTATCCTGGCATTACCCTGAAAGGCTGGCAAGAAAGCATCACAAACCATCTGGTAGCAGTTGACCGCTCAGGCTTGCCGCTGCAATTTTTTATCACCTCCCACCACCTGCCAGGCTTGCCCAGTCCCACCGTGACGAAGCTGTCCAGGACAGTGAAAACTGCCATCTCCCGCTATTACACTTTCAACACGTACCCTGGCTGTACTAATCCAGCATCGCCCAATTTCAACTTTTATGCCAATATGGATGATGGGACCTGTGAAGGGACTGCAAGGAACTTCACGTTTGGAGGTGCCTACCAGGAGTGTGTTCAGCTGGAAGGCCCTGACGCTGTCCTGCTCTGCCAAGGCCTGGAGCAGAGGAATCCGCTCTCGGGAGGGTTCTCATGCCCAGAGGGCTACACAGCTGTCCAACTGGGCTCACAGCAACGTGAGGAAGGGTACAGCCACTTGGATTGCCACCAGGACTGCCTCATCTGGAGGCTGTTCTGCAAGAAGGTTTGCAAGGATGTGGTCACACCTTCCAGAGTGCGATTTAGCTCCTATTGGTGTGCAGCCAGAGGACCTGTCCCTGCAAGCTCCAGCTTCCTTTTTGGGGGGCTCTTTAGTGTAAACAGCATCAACCCCATGACAAATGCCCAGTCTTGTCCCTCCAGGTACTACCAGCTGAGGCTCTTTGACCAGCTCAAGATTTGTGTCAGCAGTGATGAAAGAGGCCAGAAGTACTCTGTGCCCTTTGGAGGGTTCTTCAGCTGCCAGGCAGGAAACCCACTGATGGGATCCCACAATGGAACAAAGAATGACCCATACCCCAAAAGGTGCCCAGCAGGATTTAGCCAGCACCTGGCTCTGATCAGCGATGGCTGCCAAGTGGATTACTGTGTCCAGGCTGGGCGATTTATAGAAGGGTCTCTACCCCAAGCCCGACTCCCACCCTTCACTCACAAGCCTGCCCTCAGCTCAGTTGCCACTGAAACCATCCTGGTGATGAGCGGCAGCAGTGGTCAGACCTGGGTCAAGGACCCCCAGACCCAGCTGTGGAAGGTGGGCAGCCCTGCAGATGTGCAATACCACATGAAGGGGGAGCAGGGTGCTGGTGGGAGCTTCTCAACTGGAGAAGCAATTGGGATCAGCATGGGTGCCACCACTGGATTGGTCATCCTGGCTGTCCTGGCCGGCTGCGGATACAGGCGGTACAAAAGAAAGGAGTACAGCAAGATAGAGGGAGAGGAGGCAAGCATGATTTCAAGCAACCCTGCCTATGGCCTCATGCCCCAAATGGATACGTTCCAGGAGGAGCCGGAAAGGCAGGCCGCCTAGTGGGGTGCGAGTGCTAGCTCTGCTGCGTGCATTTACATGGATTCATGGTGAGCTTTCCGCTTCTCTTCCCACTCCACAAAGCCTGTGCTGCCGCGTGTAGCCCCGTTTCCTCTTGCTCCTCATCATCTGTTCTCCGAGAGCAGAGGCAAGAGCAGAGAGGGGGCTCCAAAGGGACGCTCATTCCACTGCATACACAGGAAGCTGCCTTATGCTTCTTATGGTCTGTACCAGGGGCAGGGGGAGCAACCTTTTTTTCCTTGGAGGCCTACGTTGCCTTTGGGGGTAGCCTGTTGGGGACTCTATGCAGGGTCAGAGCCAAAAACAGGCAAGGCCAGCCTTTTCCCTCTTCTGCCATGTGCCTCTTCATGACTGTGCCATCACTTTTTCTTTCTGCCAAGAGGTTTTTTCTTTCTGCAGTGGGGGAAAGGCAGGTGGCTTACCTGTAACTGTCATTCTTTGAGGGGTCCTCTGTGTCTTCACACAAATAGGAAAAGATCTGTTCTGACTGTGACCATCTGCCAGAGAACCAAGGAGAGCTGCCCAAGGTCTTCCAGGTGGAAGCATCCACCTCTCCTGTCCGCAAAGGGTCACGTGGTATTAAACTGCTGATGTCCCTAGGGCTGCACTGCTTTACACTGACCCCAGCAGATCCCCAGAGTGTCAGGCAGGAGTATTGACATGTCTGAAATTCCTGGAGGGCAGCCCAGAAGGTTATTGTATGCTCATGTGGTTGAGGACAGATAGCACTGGGGTGCATTCAATGCTCACCTTCCAGCCTGTTAGTTTGTGCAGCAGATCACAGGTTAAGCTGTGGGCATACACATGAGAGAGTTGCTTTCATCTTAGTGGATTCCCTGTGAGTTCTTTTAAAAGAGTTGGGGGAATCTTGAGGTCACTGGGGTCAGTGCAGTCCATAGAGGGGAAGGGTTTTCTTTCTATACACTTCCTGGAAGGTCCTGTGAAAATCAAATCCTTCCTACTTGGGACACTGATTTTCAAGGACAGTCCCCAGTGTGTATACAGGACTCAAGGACTCAGAAACTTGCATGACTATGTGTCTGATGCTGGTAAGCAAGCATTTGTATTAGACTTGGTGTACCCTCTTCTACATGCATGCCGGCACACGCTTTCCCTAAAGCAGGAGTAATGTGCAAGTAAGAAAAGATCCTTTGCTGTGTCTTATTTATGTTTATCTATGTTAATTGCTGCCCTGAGACACTGTAAAGGGCGGGATACCAAAACTTTAAACAAACAAAACAGGAATATCCGGTGGAACAGTGCAGTGTCAACACCATGCCCTGAATGGGGCAAGCACTGACTCCAGCATGCATCTCCAAGGCACACAGGCAGCAGAGAGCACTTGCCCAGATAAACAGGCCCAGCTGGAAGTGTGGTCCCATAGGCAGGAGCTGATGGAACAGCTTTACCTATCTGGTGCTTGCCAGAAGTTTTAGACAAGAATTCCAGCATTCCTTATTGCTAGCTATGTTAGTTAGGGCTATTGGGAACCAAAGCAGAAAACATCTGCAGGGCACCTGGTTGAGGGAAGTTGTGACATGTTTCAAACTAGCCACAGCCTGCCCCCTTCCTGTCTCCTTGCAAGACACATCCGTGAAGCATTTGTGGTGTATGTGGAAGTGCTGTGTTGGTTGGTTATTATCCCCACCCCCACCCCTCCCCACTCCAGGAATTGACAGGAATGATGGCAGGACTATTGCAGCCTGCACAGCCCAAACAAACATCTTCCCACCATGCTGGAAGGAGGGGCAGGCTTACCCTGCCAGTGAGGTACAGGGCTTGCGGGAAGCCGTCCCTTGCACATGCCCAAAGTCCCTGTCAGCAACTATTTTGTGGCTGGATGCATCTAGGTGATGCAGCACACACAAAAGCAGCCAATGCTGAGTCCTCTTGCCACAGACTCTGCAAATCCCCTTTTTCCTTTAGGGCAGATAATGGGGGAGCACAAGGCACCACTTTGGGATCCAGCTGTGGGCTGGGCACCACTTGTCAGATTCCTGTCCTAGCTGCAATCTCAGAGAGGGGTGTCCTCTCTACCACTTGCATCCCACTGCTGGCCAAAAGCCCTCTAGCCATAGGCTCCCTTCCCCTATTTCCAGCAATTATACGACGGGCGTTCAATGTATTCTCGGTATCACCATGAAGGAATAATAATTTTTATTTTTCAGTGTAATCCCACGTAACTTCAAAACTCTTATTACATCCAGAAATTAACTTTTCAATTCCCTGTAGAAACTATCCTTCCTCCTTGTCTAAAAAATGTGCATTAATTGCCACTTTGAGCTCTTCATCATCAGAAAATTGCTTTCCACGAAGATCTTTTTTTAAATTCAGGAATAGGCAGTAGTCACTGGGGGCCAGGTCCGGGCTATAGGGTGGGTGGTTTATTTCTTCGAAACCAGTCTCGCACACAGCCTTCAAAACACGCACCGTGTGAACAGACGCATTGTCGTGAAGAAGCAACACACCTGTGGTCAGTTTTCCCCCCCTTTTTTCTTTAATTGCTTCTCTTAAATTACACAGAGTGGTTGCATTAAGATGCTATGTTTATGGTTTCACCTTTTTTCGTGTACTCGATCAATAAAATTCCCTTTGGGTCCCAAAACACTGTGGCCATGATTTTTCCGAATGATGGAGTGACTTTGAATTTCTTCGGAGGGTCAGCACCGTTTTTATGCCACTGCATGGACTCCTGCTTACTTTCAGGGTCATAGTGATGAACCCAAGTTTCATCTCCAGTAACAATCCAGTGGAAAATACTGTGGATCTTCACCACAGAGCTCTAAAAACTCCCTGCAGCACTCGACTCGCACTTGTTTCTGAGGTACCATGAACGTTCACAGCACCCATCTTGCACAGACCTTGGAAAGGTTAAGATGGTCATGAAAAATAGTAAATATGGTACGAACGGATAGGTTTGTCATCTCTGCTAACAATTTGATTTTTATTCGGGCATCTTCCAATACAAGTTTCTCAATTTTTTTCACATTTTCTTTCGTAGTGGCAGTAACTGGTCTGCCCGAACAAGGGTTGTCTTCAATGCTTTCTCTGCCCCTTTTAAATTCACTTGACCACTTTTGAACAGTAGATAATGAAGGTGAAGAGTCCTGGTAAATGGCCACCATCTCTTCGTGAATGATTTTTTTTTTACTTTTTCCTTGTTTTATAAGGAACTTAATCACAACGTGGTGCTCGATTTTCTTCAACATTGTTGCATCAGTCATCATGGTTGTCTTTCACTGAGGATTACTAGGGAACTAATGATCACACTTCTTTGAAATTTTGCATGTATACCCTCAGATAGTGTCATTAGCTAATGAAATAAATTACCCACATCAATAGCAAATCAACCCGATACCGAGAATACACTGAACGCCCCTTGTATGCTTGGGGCGTAGAATCGTTGCATTGAACCATTCATTTATTACTTCACCTGGCCCTTTTGATTTTCTTTAGCCACAGTTGCACGTGGAGGTTGCAAACACTGCTGTTACTGCAGATTGTCAGCCCTTGCCCCACTTGCCTCTAGTTTAAATTCACAAGGATACCTCTCCCCCGCCCCGTATCACACCCTGCTTGCCTGATGTAAGACAGATGAGGACACAACAGAACCATCAGTGCTCAAACCACCTCAATAATGACAGACGCAAACTCCTTTTCCCAGCACAGAATTGGAGGCTAGGATAATATTCTCCTACCATGGGGAGATGATGGGGGAGGGGGGCGAGCACTCTGAGCTCCTTATATGAGAAAGCATGCATATTGCCACATGCATGCAGAGCCCTGAGGCTTAGAGGTGGAATAGGAAGGAAGCAGGGAGCATGGATAGGAAGGAGAATGCAAAGTAACTTCAGGGTCTAGCTCTTCTTCAATGCTGAGAAGCGGGGAGTGCAAAGAGGCTGCAAATGCATTGCTCTTTTGATGAGCTTCTTTTTTCTTCTCTGAGCCCACTCCACAAGTGCATCTCTGAATACACTGGGGTGGTGCATTAGCACAATTTTGTTCTATTGAGAATAGCTCCTCTGCGTTCAGTCAGCAGCTTTTACTTCATTATGAGAACGTATATTCTCCTGGGGAACGATGACAGGAAAATGGACTCTTCTTTCACAACGAATCAGCCAGTGATTTGTCTGTAAACCACAGCAGGTTATTTTGCATCTCTCACATCTTTGGTTTTATTTTATCTAGCAAAGGCAACTGCATATATAACAATGTATTAAAATATACTCCAGAATGCAAAAATGTACTGTGTTCTCTTATAAACATGTTATTCAATATGTTTGGTGGAAACCAACCTGAATAAACAGCATTTTGTGTTAAGTGAGCTTTGTCTACTCCCTAAAGAGCCTCACTGATTTTCTCAAAGTAGTTCCTCTTTGATCATCCAGTTTTATTGCTTAGTGTTCCAAGCTGGTGGGCAATTGGTTGTAAAGGACATAAGAATCTAGACACTTAGATCTCATCTAAACACAAAAGACTGGAGATTACATGTAAGTAGAAAATCAGCAGAAAAAATTCTACAACTCAATGCAGTCCCAAACCTCTTTTCCACCCCAATTTCTATAATCAGAACAGAATATGAAAAATTACTGTTTATGTTTAGTCGGTTTGCCTAATTAGCATCTATACCCATAATTCAGCTTTACACACACAGTGAAATTCTTTGGGAAAAAAGAATGTGTCACAGTGAAATGAGTGGGAGTTAGATCTCTAGAAGGATCAGGGAACAGCCTGAAGCTGTACTCCCTAGACTTTGGAAGTGCAGACCCACCTCTCCCCTTGCTGGGAGGACCACTTCAGGGATAATCCGAGGTTTGTGCAATGCTCTTGCTGACACTGTGCACCTTTAATCACTGCATGATAGGCATTCAAGGTCAGTTTCTCTAGCACAGTATCATTAGACTGGGCTGGGAAAGGGAGGGGAGGACCTGCATTGGTTTACGTTCTGCTTATCATGCAGGTGATAACAGCATAGGATTGCCAGGAAAAAAATGCTATTACCACCTTAGATGGTGGAATATATATCACTTCCAAGATTGGTTCCAACTCAGTTCCCTCTTTTGTCCCTTCACATTACTTTCCCCTCATCCGACATGTGAATGTGAGATTTTGATTCTGCCTAAAATGTAAAAATTAAAGTCTGTCACTCTATATAGGCATCTTCTTAATTGAAGCAAATGGTTTTTTGGTCAGCTGCCCACTGATCTCAAAACAAAATATGTTTAAACTTTCCTTGCCACTGAAACAACACCCCCTTGTGGCCATTTGAAAGTGCTGGTGTTCTCCCAACCAGATAAATTGTACACATTCACCTGCTCAGGAAACAGAAACAATGAACAATGAACAGATGCACAGACCTAGGAAACACAGACACAAAACATTCTTCAATCTGGCAGTGGAGTTTTCCTTTTATTGTTACACCCCAAGGGGTGTCATCCTCACGCAATGCAACAAACTCGAGACGGGCAAAACGCACCGTTCACGAACAACAAACAAACAATATACAGCATAGCTTCCCTCCCACCTAACCACCCCCCCACCCAAAACCACTACCAGCACCCACACAACCTGCTGTGGGACACAATGAGCACTGGAGAAGACACCCTGCCCATCATCCCCATGCCAGCATCACATCAGGCTGGTCCTTCTCTAGGAAGTATAAAAATATCAACAGCTGGAGAGTTAAGGAAAGACATAAATCAACCAAAGGAAAGTTAAGGAGAGGGCAAATAAGCCCCCTTCAGCTGGGAGAAGACATTGGCCAGGAGGTTATCCGTCACAACCTGTACCCCATCCTGGAAGCTAAGTCACATTTGAGGGAATGTCATGGCTGCTTAATGTCAGGGGAAGAAACCTGGCTCTGCTTAAGATTGCAGAAATGACTTTTGTTGCAATTTATTGTTAACCACTCAGTCAGATCAAGTCTAGAAGGGGGAAGATACATGTGACTGTGAATCTAACTGGGGAATGTCTGGTTAAAATTGATCCAAGGACACATTCTTAAGGATGATGGAAGCCTGGGCACTTTCAAGCTGGTGATATCCACTGGCCCTTTGTTACTGTCCTTAAGCGGTTACTGAGGTAAAAACAGAAGAACTCACTCTTAGGGATCACACAGCTAGGGAATATGCAAATAGGACATGGTTTTAGCTTCTCCACAAGGGCCTACAGACAGTGACTCTGAAACACATTTCTGTTTCCAAGAGGAAGCAGGCACACTGGTTGTTTAATCCTCTTGAAGAGCCACTGAGGAGGAAGAGGAGGAGGAGGTTGAGCTGGACAGACGCAGGCACCCCAGAATCTTAACAACCCGTGTGATTCTCTGGAGACCTCCACTCATTCACACACACACATACACACCCTTCCCCCACCAACCTGGACAAGCATGCAGGCAGCCACCTCAACAAACATGCTTCTTTCTTTTCTGACATGCCTTCCCTCCAACCCTGTATCCTCTCTTTATCTTCTCACCCAAGCCAGTCCTAGAGATTCCACATGGGTTGTTAAGCTCTTTAGAAAGCCAGGGCATTGACTGAGATTCTCAGGGTGGCAGGGGTAGACATGGACCTAATGTGGCACTGGTACAACCATTTCAAAATGGCTGCCAGTCTTTCCCTCTAAACTAGGGCAAACTGCAGCTAAAACAGTTCTTAGCTTCCAGGTCTAACTTAAGTACCTTTGTGATACAGTATCCTAGCCTCAAAGTCTCTTTCTCATATATTGCAAATATATATATAAGTATATACACATATATGACAAACCCCCAAAACATGAGGTAAATAAATTCAAATCAGTATCCAGGGGACTCCCCCATACAGACAGTTCAAAGAACCCACCTTGGAATGTGTGGGGCAAAACCAGAACATCTCTCTCTCTCTCTCACCACCACCACCTCCACTCACTCTAACCCACAACACAAACAGATCAGACATAAAACAACCCCCTGGGATGCAATCCACAAACAGAAAAAGAGAACAGGGTACGTGGCTCTGTATTGGCCTGGAAACAACTAAATGCAGTAAGACAGAGACCCCTGACCTAAACTGTGACCAAGTCAGTATTGCATCAAGGAGCCCACTGGGTCGAGCAGACCTGCGACAGGAGCACACAGTAGTTCCGACTTGGTTTGGAGTGAACTGACATTACTGGAAGGCAAGCATGGGGCAGACTCTTAATATATCAGTTTTGAGGAAGTGAGAGATTTACAGCTCCTCCTTGAGGTTCAACTCCAGATAGCGGCTGCAATTAATTTATTCAACTTCAGCCCATTTTGAATGGGACTGCGGAGGCTTACATGCAGCTGACCCAGTTTGGAATGTATCAAAGAGAAGGAATTTCCAGCCTACTTCCCCAAGGAACTGGGACAGTTTCTAGCAGTTCAGCAGGCCTACTTTTTAGCTCTCTTGGGATGAGACTGAAGAGGCAGCCTCAGAATGTGCCGGGGGGGGGGGGGGGGGGGTATGGGGGGGAGACCAGAACAGCAAACAGCACATTTCTGACTTGCGCCCACAACATGGAAGCAGCAGTGACATGACAACATGGAACCAGGCACCTAGCTGGGCAAAGAAAAAAGAAAGGCCAGGACTGGTTTTACTCCTCAGTGCCTTTGCAACTGAGCCATTAAACAGGCTCCTGAGCGGTACCACCAGAGATACCTTAAAAGGCTGCCTGCCCCCAAAGCAAATTTTCCACAGAATTTAAAGAGGGTCCCTAAGTTCTTCTCACAAAAATGCCATTGCACTGCAGCTAGAGGGACAAGGGCAGATGTCTGAGCTACAAACATAAAGCAGCCATGGGTACTAAGGTTAATATAACCTCAGGCCTCATCAAACACTCCACCTCATGCCCAAGATGCAATGGGAGGAAACCACCCAAGTTGGTTGGTTTGCTCCTATTAGCCAAGGGCTGTGGGCTACCTGAGACAGGACAGCCCTTCAGCATCCGAGCAAGCCCCTACTGCTGCTGTATAAGCAGAGCCGGGCCCTTTAAGAGGCAGCTGGTGGCTGTGGCAAGAGGAGGAGGAGAGGGCAGAGCAGGCACAGTGGAAGGGGGAGGGGAGCTTGATCCACGCACTTGGCTATACAGGCAGCTCCACCCCCAGGGCAAGGCTCTTCCCCTCTCCTCCCCCTACTCTCAATCCTTTTCTTGAACCACACTCTCCTCTGTAATGCCTTGAGCCGCCAGCTCCACCAACACATTGTCTATGTAATTGGGGTCAGGATAGCCATGGCCAGTAAGGTTGGATCCAAACTCCGTCTTGTGGTGAATCTCATTCCAGATCACTGTATCTGACTCGCCAGTAGTGCTCGAGGTTCCAATGGCAAAGATCAGCCGCCGATCCCAGGCTATCAGTAGCAGTTTCAGCACCTGGAGGAGGGAAAGGATGCACGTCAGAGGAATGGTATGCCCAAGCCACCTTGTCTCACATCATGATGGGCTACTTCACTAAACTTGCTGTGTGCTTTTAAGGCCCCGGGAAACATTTGGATGCTACTCTGTACCCAGCAAGAACACAGCCTAAGAACAGTCAAGCTGGATCGGACCAAAGACCTCTATAGCATTCAAACTAGCCAAACTTTGAATAACTCAGAAGTAGGACACGAAAACTCTCTGGTTCGGGCCTCCTAGCAGCTGATTTACAAGGGCATAAATGCCTCCAATACTGAAGGTATCATTCCAGGAACACTCTTTTGCCACTGAAAATGGAAAGCATTTCTGCACTTTCTTCTGTGCTGTCATTGGTTAACCTCTGAGAACTTCATGGATAGATTCCATAATATAGGGGAGCTGGCACCAGCAGCGGCTGGTCACAGCATGTTTTCACAGTATCCAAGAGTGAAATGAACTGTGTCACCCATTATAAGGTACAAGCATGTACAGCACAAGTGTGGTGCCTTGGGGCTGTGGCTTAGGGATTCCCCCATGGTTCCTCTGGCTCTAGCCAATTTCTTCCAGCAGAGGACTGTTAAATGCCCCCCCCCACTTATGCACATTTCCACACCCCATTCAAAAAAGTAGGCATGCCTCCCCTACTGCTTAGTAACTGGCAACAAGAGCTTTAAGCTAAAATATGCTGTGGGGGGTATAATTTCCCCAATCCCTCTTGTCTGTTCTTAGTTTTCAGCTAAAAGCTGCTGGCATTCTTCATATAACTTCCCTCACCCCTCTTGTCTTTGACCTTGCCCACCACTGGAATGCAGACCCAAGAGCTTTTCTAAAATGGACTGGAGCATCCAAGCTAAAAGAGGTTTGGCGGGTGCAGGCTAAAGCTATAACATGAAGGCAGCATTCACTGAAATGAATTAGGAAGCCAGCCTGAGCTGATTATTCCACGGCACCAAACTGCTCATTCCTATACCCTTGTCTAGACCTCCCTTTTCCTCACCCCCCCCCCGACCTTTTCTACATCCCATTAATGCCACTTAGAATAAGGCATTCCACAGCACCATAAGCTAATATTTAAAGAAAGAGGATTTCAACATTCTGATTCAACAATATCTTGGCTTTTGAAAAGATATCCAGCACAGCTTCAAAACCAGATAATATTTCTGAACATGGGAAAGCAAAGAGCTTTCTCTGTGGGGTGGAGATTCAACTGGCAACAAAGGTATGGAAGGGGCTTTGTTAGAAGCAACACAGGAGCCTCCAAAAGCTGCTCTTAGGGGGTTCACAGGAACTGTGAGTGAGAAACAAAAGAGCTGGGCAAAGAAATGTAAACCAAGCAGATTCAATATGAATTCATTATTGCGTACAGGGAATGGTATTGATGACTGGTCTAACATCATGTCTCCCTAGCTGATCATTTTTCTCAGCTCCTTCACAGGCTTAAAATGGAAGGGGTGGGGGATGAGAGTCCAAACAAGCTCTTAGTGGTGTTCTGAAAGGAAATAATGATGCTACCAGATACAGTAGGGGTCCCCAGCACCAGACAGAGCTCACAAAGCCCTCAGCTCCTTGCTCCCTTTCAAAAATGTACTTTTCACAGAAACCTTGAAAACCATTAAGGTCTCGGGTTTGTCTTCCTGTTCCTGCACTTCTGCAGATCAGCTATTTGTAGGCAGGTAGAAAACTGAGAAAGGTACTTTCTGACCCCACCCTTCCCCTTTTCTTTTTCCCAGCCTTTAGGCTGGCTATTTTTATCTCCACTACCCTTTCCCCACTATGTTTCTCCCTTTCCCACACCTAACCTTCTTCCTCTCCCTTGCTAGCCTTGCTCTTTCTGTCCTCTCTATCCATTTGCCATATATTTCCCCCCTCCCCATCAGCTTCTAGCCTCCATCTCTCTTCGGCACAACCACTCACTTTTGCGTGGGTTAGCTCACTTTTGACAAAGCGGTCCCCAACAGCAACCATTATATGGCTAACCACACTCACTGTGGCAGCCATTTTATGATTGCATCCTCGTTAAGCTTTGGAATTTCCAAATGTGGCCAAGGCTGGAAACACACAGATGGAGAACTGGAAAGTATCCAACATGCTGATTCAGCCAATCCCATACCTTCAAGCTACAGAGGGACTTCTGTCCCCATTTGTCCTGACACCAGTTAAGAGATCAGTAGGGTCAATACAAAACACTACAGGAAAAACTGCTCTTTTTCATCTCTGGATGTTGCTGTTACTTCTCACACTTCAGGTTTTGGGCCATATCATGCAGTCAGCCATGTGACAGGCAGCTGTCATTTGGATATTTTCCATACACAAATATGGCCGTGTTATATGCTGTTCTTTGAACCAATGTCAGCTACTAGTGGCCCTTGGTCACACAGAGGACATTTCATCCCTTACAAACTGTTTTCCATCCCTCCATTTCTTTGCAAGCCCATACAGAAGGGAGTGCAGAACCTCTTTAAGAGTGGGATTTAATTTCTGAGGTACTTTCAGGGCTGCCTCCAAAGACAGAGAGAAAACTACTAGCACGTTTTAGCTTAAAGTTCTTACTGCTAGCAGCTGAGCCTTAGGAGAGGCGTTTAGTAGGTGGGAACTGACTGCACAAAGTTAGGAAACTACGAAATGGTAAAATTGGGGTAGCCCTCTGGCTGGATTGGGCCCCTTGGCCTGAGGTTCTTCAATTTACCATATAGGATAGAAAAGATAGATGGATCTCAGGAAAAACCAGGAAGGAAACAAGGTGCAAGAAACAGTGAGGTGTGGCAGTAGACAAGATGGAATCTAAAGACAGCTTTGCTGAAATATCGTCTCAGCACAATCCTGGGTCTCCTTGGGCTATTCACTATCAGCCTAATCTATAGGACTGCTCTGAATCTACACTATAGGACTTCAGGGGCAGGGGGCATACCATGCACACTTCCCCAAGGTTCTTGAAAGATGGGAAGAACAGGGCACCAAATCAAGGTATTTTCTTTACCTATGGTATTTAAGTGCCGATTTTCAACTATAATTGTTTTTAAAGTGGTTCACTGTGAATAGCAATCATGTGTGCAAGGGATTTGGAAGTGGAAGCATAGCCTCAGTGACTTGCTGGACATCACATCTAGGTACATCTTTGCCAGGAAGGTGGGACTAGACCACTGCAAGCCCTCCAACAAATGCTCTATATTTGTAACTGCAGGAGTACAGAATAATTCTCTGGCTGCACGTACTCTCCCGAAATATTACACAGGGTTTAGCCAGTGCTAGAAGCCATGACAACACAATCCCTCCTGCCCCACCTACAACTTTTGTCACTTTTGCTTAGGTAAAAGCAACACTTTAATGTTTATAGAACTTATAAGTCAAGCAAAATGAGTTGGCTACACTGGTCCCATAAACAAATGTGTAAATTGAAGCCTTGGTATGTTGACTCAAAAAAGCAAGCCAGCAAGCTTAGGGCCAAGAATGGATAGACTCAGAACAGAACACACAAAGAAATGATGCTATCCTTAGCATGAATTACCAACCTAAAACACAGCATGCTTCAGAGACCTCTTAAGACGCTTGCTTAACAAAAAAAAGTGAAAAGATGCTACCTACTTTTCTGCCTCTCTCGCTGTCTGGGAGGTAACAATGACGAGGGAATCCTCGGGCAGTGAAGCTCTTCCCAGGATTTGGGTGCTCTGGCCCCTGGAGACAGACAGAATGACAAAATATATTCAAAGGAATTTCATGAGGCAAGAATGACTCCAATATTCTTTAAGCACCATGCTGTCCATTGGAGAGTCAATGAACTCCCCCAAATTCCCAAAACCATGGCCTGTCTCTCCTTGATCTGTTCTTGCATTTGCAAACACTATTCATTTTGCATAAACACAAAAACTGTGCAAAAGGAAACCCGAAGTAGCACACGTTTTCCCCACAGATTAAAGTGTGGCTGATTTAAAAAGTTGTGAATGTCAAGGAAGTTGTGCATTTTCCTTTGATTTTTTTTTTTTTTTTTTGAGAAATACTGTATCTTTCAAGTCGACATTTTATGAGTGTAAATGCCAGTTCAGGAATTTGCAAACATTTTTAGAGAAATCATATTTGGGATTGCCAATGCAGCTTTTTTGAATGATTTATGATTTTGAAGTGAAATTCTCAAAATTCCTAGTGGGGAAGCCAAGGACTGTAGAGTCTGTTCAAGAGCTCCACCTACAGCGCCTCCTGCTTCTTCCCTGTTGCCTTTCTGAGTTGCAACCATGGGCCCATTATCCAGACTCGCACCTGGATCCCTGGTGGGATGTTGTAGATTATTCGGATGGTTTTACAGTCAAAGTGTCCAGGCAATGAATGAGGAATTAGGTGATACTCCATCTTTCCAGGAGGTTGGGTGCCAGTCTTTACCCCATAGATGGTTTTGCAGGTTGGACATTGTAAACTCCCATCCTAAAAGCAAAATTGACAAATAGTAAGACTAGGCCATCTTTTCAGAACAGCACAAGATGAAAAGACAATAGTCTGACATTAACTGATACTACTTCCATGCACACAGGGCATCAGTGATAGTGAAAACATCACTCTTCAGCAAAGTACAAAACATTTTACATCCTCATCCATCTCCAAGTGGAGAAATGCAAGCACACAAAGCAGGGTAAGAGGCCAAGTTGCTCCCCTCCCCATGCTTGCATCTAACTGCTGTAAGACTCCTTCAGATGACGATTGAGAACCATTTCATTTTGTGGCCACAAACCCAGGTCTACCTTGGATTGCCCTATTCCATAAAAGTTGCAGTGAATCACAGCTCCCTGGGGAGCATATACCCAGATGATACATGTGTTTGTAGAATTGCAGATCTGCATGCTCTTTTAAATTGTATTCCTATGAGGTGGAGACAGAAAAAGTCACTTTCCAGAGAGACCCCTACTTCAAGGCTGGAAGGCTAGAGACCAGCCATCTATCATTTACTATCTAATGACCTTAATGATCTTACTTTATTTGAAGGTATCTCTTACAGTAATCAGCTTCATATAGTGGCATTTGTAGACACATTGACTGTTTATATTAATGTATAAGTTTGAAACAGGACTGTGAAATCCTTCCTCTTCCCCTTCCTTTTTTTTAATGGCATCATAAATTACTGTGAATGGATATGCTTTCACCTTATGTGCTTCCTCTTTTCCTCCCTTTTCTGTTGCTTTTCCTCTCTTTTTTTGGTTGTTTCAAATGATGTGCAGGTTTGCAAACAAAAGAATATAGGAAGATGCCTTACATCAAGTCAGACTATTTGGCCACCTAGGACACGGTTTACTCTGATCAGGCTCATTCATTTGTTCATTTTCCAGTGTGTCATATGCCATCCTCTGTCAGCAAGCCCCTTCTGCATTCTATAAAGAGCAAACAGGCCAATCTTTATAGAAAAGTACAGAAACAAATCTGACATCAGACATGGAAATATTCAGAAAACAGTGGGAGAACACTTCAGCCTCCCAGGAAGGGAACCAATCGTAAAGCAGTCACTGTGGAGCAAAGAACTTCAAAAGGAGATTAAAGAGAGAGACTACTCAGAATTCATCAACAGGTCCAATTCTATCGCCAGGAGCCTGAACTGAGATAAAGGATTTTCTAAATCATACTACATGCAATAATTGGTTTACCTAATGCCTGCAAGTTTGTATTCAGCAGTATTTATACTGTGACCAACCATTATTAATATCAACGCTGCCATTGCTTTCTGCATTTACTTTCGGCTTTTTCTGTTTACAATTCTTTCTGCCACTGTATGTACTGAACATTAACCTGAAAGTCTCCATAACACTACATGCATCTGATGAAAATGACCATAGTCCATGAAAGGTTATGCCACAATAAATGTGTAGACTTTAAGGTGCCACAAGCCTCTGCTGTTGACTAGCAATGGCTCTCCAAGATCTTCAAAAGAGATCTTTTCCACAACCTGCTGCATGCTTTTTATCTTTTTTAGCATACAACAGAGATACTTTCAAAAAAGACAATGTGTGAAGCACTCTTAAGCTCCAGTATTTTAATGAGCTGGGCTGGAGGAACAACAGCCAAGAAATGGGGAGAAGAAATGGTGTCACTTCAACAGTGGCATTCCCAGAAACTTCAGGTATTTGGCAGTGCTTTGAACTTCGCTAAGAAGAGGAAGACTTTTTCACTAGCATAGTCAAACCCAAGGGAAAATGTCAGAGCTGCTGGGTTACCAAGGGTAAAGTATTCCTTTTAAAACTCAGCACCAAGAAAAGCTGGATGCTATAATTAATAAATTATGCATATTTGCTCTGATTTGCATAATTTATTATGTTTCTGCTAGCCAAAAGAGAAGAACAAAGAACTATACAGTCCCCTGAGGCTCCATCCTCAAATCACTGCAGGTCAAATCAAGTTAGTCCCTTTTGGCTTCCAAGAATGACCCTTCCTTAGATTGCTTTATCTCCACAGACATAAGGCTCAGAAACGTGTTTCTGAAAAGTAAAAACAAAAAGCAAAGTTCTCCAGAGGCCTAAATTAGGCCATCATAGATGGTAAACAGAACCACTGGCTTTGACTCGTTAAGGAAGAAAACAAAGGAGATAGTGAGATGACTTACGGATGACTTATGGAGATCATCTCTTGTGATCATCTCCCATCTCTAACCACATGGCGGCTGCCTCTTGCCATGTCCCTGCTCCCTTTTTCAAATGGTTAAGCAAATGCATCACAAAGAAGTGTAATGGACAGATATTGCAAATGTGGCAATGGACTTACCGCATGGACAGGTATTACAAATGTGGTAATCTTCTCCCTATCACTGCAGCCCTCATGGGGAGGCAGACACTGTGTGTATGATGTGTATTTATAGGCTGCTTTTTGACCCAACACAGCACATAATCATATTAAAAATACAGTAAAACTACCACGTAAGTTAAAAATGGGCAACCTAATATGCAATTACTGTTCAGCCAGAGAACCAGATTTTTTAAAGCCCTCAACAACTCCAGAAGAGCAAGTTCACCAATGATTAATCCTGTCTGAACAAAACAGTGTTCATCAGAATCTGAGAGTCATGTGGAAGAAGCCAATGGACTTCCCAAAGCACCAAAAACGAGAAGACCCTGTCCTGTGTACCCACCTTCAGTCAGCGATGCCAAGTGTAGCGTATGGGTGGGGAGGATCATGTGGGGAGGGTTTGTCAGATTCTTTTCTATGGAGGCCTGGTTCACATCGTTTACAGAGGAAAGGCTCCCTGATGTGAATTTTCCCTGCAGTACAGTAAGGAAGATTTATGGGAGAGCTGTCCCCCTACACACACACTCTCTTTCTCCCCAGACACATACTGAGATCACGATGGGAGTGCTTTGAATCTGAAGTCTGCTGTGCCATGCCAAAACCTGCAGGGAAAAGTAATCTAATGGGGACTTTCTAGTTCATCAGTACTTCAAACAGTCTGCCCTGTGAAATACCAAAGCAGTTATTCACTCCTGAGTAGAAATCACTGCGTGTCCACCCAAGATGGTGGGTTACCTGCCCACCTCTGCCATCCTCTTCCCATGACACACCTTGTTCCCATTGTTGTACATGGCCACAAGGCAGTGGAGGTGATACATGTGGCCACACTTGGAGAGCTTGCCCACCAGATCTGGCTTGATGGCTGGCTGAGGCCCCTTGTAGCCTGAAGGAGCAGAGAGGCGTTCCATGCAGATAGTACAGTCCTAAAAGAGGGAGCGAGTAGGAGACAGTGATACATGGACCAAAAAACTTTGCATGCACAGAAAAGCAGTCTGAACGAAAACCAAGCTACAGTGGCTGAAACTCTTGCCAGTATAAGGTCCTCCTTGGAGACACTGAAATAAATCTGCATACATAAACCTTGTCACTCCCTCCTTCAACTCCCATTACTCTACAACTCAGGGGTAGGCAACCTGTAGCTCTGCAGATGCTTTGGCCTACAATTCCTACCGGCCTACCTTTCCTAGCACAGCCAATGTTGAGGAGTTGGAGGTCAAACTGTCTGGAGGATAGTTTGACTGTACCCCACCTGCCATTCAGATTTCCAGTGATGCAGTAGTCTCCTCATGTGCCTGGTATGTAATGAAACTTCAAAGAGCAGAGGAAGTTGCCCTTTAAGCCCAGTCTTGTCTACTCTGCCTGGAAATGGCTTTTCTTTCTCCCTTTTAGGGCCTTCCTCAAAATCATCTTCTTCAGCCAAGTTGCCACAAAAACTACCAGGACTGTACCTGCACCTCCACCAAAGCTCCCCTGTTCGGTCTTCATCCACTGCTTTTTTGTCAGTTCATGGCCTCTTTCCCTGCCCAGATCACATTTCCGCAGCTGGACAGAGTCAGAGTCACTTCTGTATTCTGAGCCATGCGCAGCACACCATCCATGCTAGACAAATGTTTTGCAGCAGTAGCAACAGCTGTACTAAGGCTAGGACAGTGGCTGCTCCATCCTAAAACAACACTCTGCACTGGAGCAAACAGATGTCCGCACCCAGAACATCTCAAGTCTCACTTCTGAGCCCAGCTCTTGAGCTACTATACTCCACTGGCTTCAACAAACACAGATACGCAATATACAAAGAAACAGACTCACCTCATCTGGAGGATGGCGCACCTTCTGCAAGTATTTTTTCAATACCTCCTCAGGGGTTTTACCTGGAAAAAAGGAACATATGAGAGGTTCACCCAGTTGCAGGCAACATTTCTGAAAGCATTCAGTGGGGTAAAAGAAAAGGCAAGAAATGACTCAGAGCCCCTTCGAAACGTCAAGTTGCCTTCCCCTGACTTGTGTTTGTCTCTTTTCTTTCCAACTCGTTTTGAACTACTTGCTTTGCACATACTGCCCTGGTTTGTGAACAGCTTAAGCCACAGTGGCTTGCCTGAATTTGTGGCATGTGCCAGGCATGATTTCTACAATTCCCAAGGCCCAGTTTGTCATTTTGTCTAAACCTGGACACTATGGCTTGATGGAGAGAGAAACAAAACTCAAATAACTCATAAGCTGCTTGGGTTCTTTGAAGGATTTTTCCTCAAACAAGCCACAGAACCAGGTTTAGACAACACAGCAAGCTGCAATCAGGCAGCTGATTATGCAAAATGTACCCAGCACAAGAAACTGACAAACAAGGGGTTGTAATGGGTTGAAAAAAGCAGAATCAGAAACAATGGTTTGAAGTGGGCTTGAATTTTGTAAACCAGTCTCTGATATAGTTTGATGTGATGTCTTCATTGATGAAGTATAGTTGGGGCTGTCTGTCTGCAAAAGCCTCTGTACTATAGAGGTGGGAGTGCTAACAAGACAGAAAAATGGATTAAAAAGGACAGAGCCACTCTTGCTAATCTTTTCCTAAGCTCACCCTCACCTTGACACTCAAATCAGCCCACAACTCAGCCTTTGCTAATTTATTTTATTTACTTACTCTATTTCTACATCAGTCAAACCCCAAAGTTCTCTGGGCAGTTCACAAAAGTTGGAACCCCAAAATACAACTTGATAAAATACAAAGCCTTTAGATGTGTAAAACTGAATAAAAAACCTGAGTTAATGCCAGCAACAGCATCTAAAAACGCCACCATACATTTGAAAACAAAATGTTACGATTATGTGTGTCCGTCACTCCCTCCCAGGGATATTATGGGATTCCTGAAAAAGTCTGCTTGCAGTTTGTGACCACAGTCCAGAGGTGGGCTAAGCAATTCTCCTGAATAATCTCCCTGTCTCGATTCCTTTCTGTGATGGCAGGAGGACCTGCTGCCTCTGTTGCTTCCACCCAGATCTCTCATATATCTAAGGACAGGCAAGCCAAGGCTTTGTCTGACATGGAAATAAGGTTCCTTGAAGACAGGTAGGCAAGCAAGGGTGCTCAGGAGGCAATTCAGCAGGCAAGGCTAACATTCACTGAGCAGCTGGCAGAGAAGTGCTATACAAGATCTTTTGGCCAGTGCGAAGAAAAAACCCAGTGCTCTGAAGAAAAATTGTCAATGCCCTCAACAACAAACAAAAACAGCCACTGCAAAGGGAGAATCCATATACAAATATGAATTTTACCATATGCTTTTAACATTGAAATGGCAGCCTGTATTTTAAATAGCTAAACAAAAACAGGCTATACACATTTTAAATAAATAAGAACATGAATGAGAGTTTGGAGACTGAACCTTGGCCCTTTATTAAAAGCTGTCCCCTTCCTCAAAAACAGGAAAGATGTAATCTCCTGTCGCACTGTAATCAGCAGCATGCTATAGCAGGTGAGACACAGGAAGTCAAGCAAGATCACTGCACAGACAGCTCTTGTTTCTCAGTTCCAAGTGGTATCAGGACAGCACTGGGTTGCAGACATCTCCATGGGAAATGGGATCAAGAATGGGGGACAAGTACCGCCTTGCTCTTCATCATGGCCGCCTGGCAGAAAGCTGCTTGAGTGGGCATTGGGCTGGGGACTATCCCAGCAGCAGTGAGAAAGGAATGAGCAGGCAATCAGCTGAGCAGCAGGGCTGCCAAATGGGGACCATCAGCTTTACTCTTCCCACTTTCCTGCATACATAAGGGGCTTCTTTCAGCCACACATAGAGGAGGGCCCAGCTCCATTTGCAGCGCTGCCCACCTGAGATCAGGCACCACTCCTTGTCTCCACTGGTTCCAAGGTGCTCAATCAGCTCCCTCATCCTCTCCTCTGCACTTCAGGGCCTGAGCCCTGTTTGCACAGCAGAGACTGCTTAACATCTGCAGTGATCCAAACTCTGCTTGTGATCATGGCTGTCAAAGAAGGGAGCTGTTCTTCCATGCAGTCCCTCCTGGGAGGGCTGAGATGGTGGGAGGAAGTAAAGTTACCACAGTGAGCCTGATCGTCTGTCAGGCACGTCCACACAAAAAATGCAAAGTGTGGAAACCACCCAGGGTTATTTGTCATGCTGCGTGAGCACAGCTATTGTCCATGTATGGAGTCCTCAATTTATTCTATGGAAACCTCTCAAGGAGGACTAAAAAAATGCAACCCTTGGCTGTACTCTGGCGTTGCATCCCATTTATTTACTGACTGCATTTATAGACCACCAACCAAGGTAATTAACAAGAACAATAAACAAATATAAACATAATAAAGCATTAAAAGCAACTCTGAAAACCCTATTTAAAAAGCCAAGCTGGAATGAGGTCTCTTGACCTCCTTCCTAAACACAGAGACAAGTGGGAACCAGTTGTAATTCTGCAGGGAGCGTATTTCACAGCTTTTGAGCAACACAGGGAAAAGGGCTTTCCCACATATTTGACGAGCAGACCACCACACCCCAAATTCAGCTACAGTATTTACGCCAAGAACCCTTGTTATGATTCCGGGTAAGTAACTCAGCATCGTCACATTTGTCTCACTCTATGCCAAGGTGATGAGACAAGTGGCACTGATACAGCAGGTGGAGGGAGGGAAGACCAAAAGGCTTGATCATGACTCAGTGGTAGAGCACGTGCCTTGCCCAAAGAGCCCATGTTCAATTCCCAGCACCTCCAGCTGCGGCTCGGAAGGGCTCCTCCCTGAACCCCTGCACAGCTGTTCCCGCCAGCCAGTGTTGGTGATACACTAGCTGCTTCAGTATAGGCAAAGGCAAGAGAGGCAAACCAGCAACAGTTCAAGTAACCGTGCTGGTCAATCACACCCTATAGACCAACAGCAAACTCGATGCTTTTCCCCAAAATGAATCTTTATATAGTCAGAACAGCCTGTCCGTGGACAAGAGTGGGGTTTCAGCAGATTTTGGGGGATGCAAGGTTTTTGGAAGCACTGGGAATGTTTAGGAAAAAGCATTAGGTAGTCTGTGAGGCATGCACAGTGGTCAGACAGTGCTGACTCACTGATGAAGGGGGAAGAATGGAATGGAGCCATCTGGGAAAGGACATAACTGGTGGGAACTCCAAGCACAGCATACTTCCATACTTTGTTGCAGATTCCCCTCCTTTAACCCATTGACTTTACTTCTCAAACTTCTTTGCCTCAGAGCACTGAAGAACTTAATCATTTGCCATGTTTTTTTGGTATATTCCACCGAGTTTACTATGCAATGCCTTTTTTTTTTGGCCTTAGACTGTAAGCTCCAGTTCCTGATACCTTTAGATAATATTATAATGTTGGAAGGGGAGGAGGTATACTGAGGTTTTAACTTAATAGGTTTGCAATCACTTAACGTGGCTGTGGCTATGATTAACTGCAGCCAGGCCATACATGTGCTTACTCGGAAGCTCTACTGTGACCACTTGATGTCTACTGTGACCTGATGGACTCTGTGCAGGACAGCAGCCCTAAACTGGCCATCTGAGCAAACTCAGCAGAAGAGTGTAACACTCTTAGCAAGAGGACTTTTGCTTCAAGGGATTCAAGGCTGATCTGGAAACACAACCCACTGACCTGGGAGTAATTTGCCTTCAGTACCTGATGTGTGAGACTGTCTAGGATCAAGGTGAGGAAAATGCACTCAGCACATGCCCTGAAGATGTATATATTCTCAATTCATATTTCAAGACTAAGTATAGGCAGTGATAACAGATGGCAGTGTTCAGCCATAGAGATCTCTGCACAATGAATGCTGTGGTTATTGGCCACACAAAGGACACTGGGAACACATCTGCCTTTTGTTGGCATTATACTGAGAAGGAAGATGTGTGGGAATAGAGAACGTGTCCCCCTGGGCCTAATGTCTGTGTGTGTGCCTTCTTTACAGGTGCACGATGGGCACCAGTGAAACTGGTCAGACTTCTGGCTTCCTCTCTCCTGTGCATGGCATGGAAACATAGATTGTTACCTGTCAGGCAGATGTGAGATACTCTGGAGAAAAGACAATAATGAAAGGGAAATGCCATACCAGATAGGGAATGCAGTAATGTAAGTCTGTGAGGGTTGGGTTGGGAAATTATGAGGGGGTGGAGGATGTGTGCAAGTCAACAGCAGGGAACATGTGTTAGGAAATGCAGCAGATGGGAATCATCCAAAAGGTTCTGGAAGAACATTGTTGGATATCTGCCATCATTTCTGGCCATCAACAGATGCAGCCGTACAATGATATGAGACAAAACAGTTGGGGTAGGAAGGGTGTGGTGAAAGGGGGCAAAATTATGCTACAGAACGGGGTCCCTGTCCCTTTGGGGCCAATGGGTACATATTGACACTACTGAGCAGACAATGTGGCCAGTACAACAAAATAGTTGTCATGAAGACCTGACTAGTCACAAATGAATAGTGACTTGCCAAAGAAACTCAATACAAGGCCCCAAGTATCAAGCCAAATGCTGGATATTATTAAACTATTTCCCAGAAAGAAAACTGCTGACATGAGATAAATCCCTCATACAAACATGCTCAGGCAACACACATATCTACTCTCCCTGGCCCAGAATTAAAACAATGACAATACCCTCCCAGTTTCTCAGGACAGTATGTGCTGCACCAGTCCCAGAACCTGATGGACTGCCCCCCCTCAACACCCCAGTAAAAACTAACCAGGCAGAAGATGATCACTTTCTCTTTGCTTTTTAAGGAAGTTTGGCTGGGAACACTAGAAATGGGCTTCCAGGATATGGCTTCCAAGGAAAGTGGTTGAGGCCCCATCAGTGAGGGTGTTCAAGGAAAGATTGGACAATCACATGTTGGGGATTACATGAGCGGAGCCAGCTGGAGCCGGGGGTCAGACTTGGTGGCCCAGGAGGACCCTTCTGACTCGATTTTCCCCCTACGTTTCTATGTTCCATCTCCTGCTGCTCTCTCCTCGTCCTTTCACTTACGAAGGCTGCCTCCCACATGGTAAAAAGGAAATGAAAAACAAAGGCTGGTGGTTGATACGCAGAGCTTGGCTGCCCCCACCACCATCACCAAAAAGCTCAGGAGGGACAAGTGGTCTTGGGGCTGCCAAATAAGGCATCTGGGTATCTGTGTCAGAGACCTCAGCTTTAAAACCATATATGGTGACTCTTACAACTAAGAGATGAAGGTGAAGCAGAAGGGAATAGATTGTTGAATGGTTCCTGCAAAGAATAAACTATGTGACCTGCCAAGCCAAATGCTGCCATTAAGATCTCTGAGTAGGCAATTCCTCCATCTGTCCCCCCTCCAGAAGCAGCCAGCCAGTGATGAAACAGCAGTACACATGATTTCACTGGGCCAGAATGTGTGAGCATCCAGAGATACTAGCAGGAGTTGAGCTGGAGGAGGGCATGGTCTGAGTGCAGGCTTTATGCAGCAAGCAAAATCATCATCTGGAGTCTCAAACCATGGCTTAGCTTCTAACAACAGTTAATACAAACCTCAGTTCAGTATGACATCTGAACGGAGTTATTTTCTGCAATGCACCTGGTAAAGATTGACATGGGAAGATCTGAGATATTTCAGACTCTTTAAAGGCTGCAGTGGCCTTGTTGCCCTCCAGATGCATGACTCTACATCTAATAAAGACAGATAAAAAGCAGGGGCATGGAGACACTCTCCATTCTTACCTTTCTTAGTCTGTTTTTTGGTGGTCTTGCGGCAAGTATTGGAGATCCCCGGGATGGATTTGATCTCGCTCTTGCTGACTGGAGGGGGATGCAGAACCAGCTTTGGGGGTCGCGTGAGGCACACAGGCAGCCCTGCAGCACTCATAAGGATCCCTGTGATTCCTGGGTGGAACAGAGGAGGCATTTGAGAAAGCCATTCCTCCTTGCCAGTACAAGGCCTCCCTGCTAACTCTCCACACATTGCATGCCTGCAGTGGAAGACCGTGCCTCTTCACCTACCACCTCTCTTATGCCAGAATCATTTGGCAACAAGATAAACACCTTTATCAACTGGAGACAACTCTGCAAAGCACACCAAATTTCCTGCTTGTAGTACCCTAATGTTGAGGACTAAGCTTCACCCACTGGGGCTTTCCCATTTGTGCGCTGAGTTGGCAAGACGGCCTCTTGGTCAGTTCCAAATAATAGCACAAAACAACAAGGCCAGAAATGAAGGGTGATAAGCTTCAGATCTAGGGGTGTTTTCCCCAATCTAGTGCCTTCCAGATGTGTTGGACTACAAAGACTGGAAGATGATGGTAGCTGCAGTCTAACATTTGAATTGCAAGGTGGCGGGGCTGATATAGATCCTACCCTCACAGATCAACAACTTCCTCTGAATGTTTCTAGTGACATAACTCCTATCCTTTCCCTATGCCAACTTGGCATATTTTATTCACTCTGAATAAGCATTCGACTCAGAACTCGTAGCTCTTCTGTGTTCTGATACAATCCCTCTGAAGCCTTTCAGTGTGCCCCAGGTGAGCTTCCCAGGTGTTCCTCATTCAGATCAAGCAACAGTCACAAGCTATTCACAACTGCTCTGGTCCCCCAGTGACTCTGCTTCTCTTACCTGCCAGTGCTGGGTTAACTGGACTAGAGCCATTGAGGTTTTTCACTGGAACTGTAGGGACCCTGTGAGGAAAGAAATTGGGCTTTTTAGTCCTTTCTACAGAACAAAACTGCACAGCTGTGAAAAGAAGAGTCCTTGAGAACTAAGCAAACATGGAAGGTACCTAGGCCCACATTTCAAAGGACACATCAAAATCCCTCTGAAGAATAGAGTTGAAAGCAATGCAAGGACAATAGTAATTATGCATTGCATCTTCCACATATACTACACTGGGAGAGGAGGAAGGTTCTCTGCAAATTTAAATAATACCCAGAGCGGTTTCTGTTAAGCCTCCAAACTGACAAAAAGCAGTGTGTTCCCACTAAACTAGCCTGGCAGGTTACATCCCTGCCTTTGGCTGCTACTAGCCTGAGGCACAAACACACTCCCTGGCAGAACAAGGCAATCCAGTCTGGGAGAGGCAAGCAAGTTTCTGAAAGAAGGGTGTGTGCTGGAAACAAGACAACAGGTTCGGTGAAAAGCCACATCTGGGGCTGTGACAAGCACATGATTCCTTAAAAGCTTATGTGCAAAGAGTTGGGAGGAAGGTCAGTCGGGCACTGGGTGTGTTCTTCCACCCATGATGGTCTTCTGACTGCCAAAATAGCAGATAAGATCAGTTACTGAATTTGTCCCTGACAGCGACTACAGCAGCACATGTGAACGATCCTCACAGTTCCTGCTTTTCCCAGAAATGGTTCCTCTGCTTTCCCAGAAATGATTCCAGTTTAATGATGAAGTTTTGTACAAGTTAAACTTTGTGTCCTGAGATAGGATATTATTTACCTCAAGCATGCATCTTAGCTGAGCCTCTGTACCAACTAGCAACTGTACCATATCATCATCAAATGTGTGTACCTGAAGAGGAGAGAAGCTTGCCAGAGTATGTGTCACCAAGTTCTGGCTATGTGTTGATATCGGAGTTGGAGGTATGTGGGAGATGATAAAGGGACAGTTTCCCTACAGTATCGGTACACACCGATTTCTCCATTCATGCATATAATTATGCATAAAGAAGTGGCTGTTAACCATGTCAAGATGTGCAAAGGGATCTTTAAAAAAGCTTGAAAAGAAAGGTTTAAAAGATTCTTTGACTGAGAGACAGAAAGATTCCTCACACCGTGTTTGATGGCAGAAAAAGTACCTAGAGCATAAAGAATAAAAAATGGGGTTGTGATAAGAAAAAAGTACAGTCCCACAAGCCACCCTTAGAACATGAGCTGCTCCTTCAATTTATATTCAAGAAGACAGTCAGGGGACTGCACAAACTATGGACCCAGTCAGCCATGCAAGGCCAACAAACGCCAAGCCAGTCAAAAGACTCTTGCATGCGCTGGACTGTTATGAGTCACCTGGTCAAACCCTGACAAAGTTTCAAATACTGGAGTGCCATTTGCCAACCAGGAGCATATGTCTTTTAAAAGTGAACACTCCTGACTTTGCCCCTGAGACAAAAACGGGAAGTGCAGCCATTATGGAGGCATCTGGGCTAGAGGATCAATGAAGGATGCATGAGATGACTAGGCCTGAAGTACAGACAGAGCAGGGAACCTTTCTAGCTGGACAATAGTTGCCGTAGTGACAGACCAAGACTTATTGGGAGACAAGAGCCTCCTCTAATCTAAAGACAGAGGCATTTCCCCGCCTTCCCATTCGCTAGCCCTCTTCTCACTGCTCCTTTCTCCAGCTCTTTAAAAACCTTGGTTGTGTCTCCACGTTATTCACAGGGCCTTTTGTTCCTCGAAACATCGCCTTGGCCCCTTCCTCCCTTGCTGGAGAAAGTCTTTTGGAAGGGTCATGGGCAGGGAGGGGGGGAGCAGCAAGTGACAGAAGGCCGATGGCAAAGTCAGACAAAGGGGAAGAAACACGCTAATTAGATGGCCAAGAAAGAGTGTTTTGGTCAGGGTTACTGAGGATGGAGTGCCTTCCAGATCAGGCAGAAGCCATGAAAAGCTTTCTAAAGGCCCTCTGATAGGAACTATCCGCAGATCTGAAGGGTAGAGAAAAAGAATGTTTCAATTCCTCATTAAAATTCAAAAGGGGTTTGCAGGCCTCCCCATTTTATGGTTAAAGGGGTCTGTGGTATTTGCTGAAAGCAAAGGAGGATGGGGCTGAAAGAAGTTGATGTCAGTGAGAGGTGGTCTTAGCTCTTCATCAGGAATTTCCTATCATCCTGGCTGTTTCAGCTGCATATATCAATCAGCCACACAGCTCTGTTAGAGCCACGCCTTGCTCTGGGTCAGGGAATGTGTGGACCTCCAGAAGATATTGGTGGATTGCAACTCCCATCGCTCCCCTAGCCAGCACAGCCAATGATGAGAGATGATGGGAGCTATAATTTAACAACACTTTCTAGAGGCCAACAAACTTCCCACCCTTGCCCTAGATACTCCGTCACATGAACTGGTATTTCTATTCTAAAACCTACTGAGATGACTCATTCATATTCACCACGCGTCAGAAGTCAGTTCCTTTCTCCTCACCCCAAAAGCAGCAAAAACACAAAAGTTCTTTTAAATCTCAAACTCAGACTTTAAATAAAGCGGTTCAGGGTAGTTTCTGAGTTCATCTACTGAAAAATCCTTTCTCAACACTGAACAGGAGTTGGGACTTGGCTTGCCGTAAACATGATACGTCTTTTTAACATCAGTCATGAACTGGTTTACTTCATTATTTGTCTACAGCAACCCAGTAAGAGGCTGGCAACAGATGGTCACCTCAATCAGTGAAACTATCAGCGTGAAAGAACATGCCCTGAAGAACAGAGAGGTTCTCTTCTATCATGATGCAAGAACGTTCTGTATTAAAACAACATGGACCACGTGTGCCTCAAGTCTCCTATGACCCTCTTGGTGTTCCAATCTGACCCTCTGAGGTTCTCCAAATGCCCATCTCTCCTTTCCCCCAATTGCTGGGTAGTTTCCAATTTGCTGTCTTTTGTTTCCATTTTTTTCCCCATTCTAAGAGGTTAAATGCCTCCCTTGAAGCTTAGCTACTGGCAATTAAGAGCTTTAAGCCAAAATATTTTGGCGTATTGGCCCATCCCCTTTTGCCTCCAGCCCTGCCCATCAATGGAATACAGCTCCAAATGCTTCTCTGAAATGACATTTGGCCCTTGGGCTGGAAGACGCTGAGCACCCCTGGCCTAGGCAAGAGAAAAGAGCATGACTTACCCTGAGGCAATCAGCACACGGGACTGTGCAATGGCCAGACGCTGCAGGTTGGTCCGGTTCAGTGTATTAAGGCTGGCCCGAGTTGCCTTGCCATTGGCACTGGGAGGGCTGGCAGGGGAGCTGGTGGTGGTGAGGGCTGGTGTGCTGGCCGCCTGCCTCCGGGCCACCTGAGATGCCAGCGTCTTCAAGGAGCTGCGCATCGTGGTTGTTCCATCCTGGGGCTTGTGAACAGATGCTGGGGTGGGGAGTTTGGTACTACCGGCAAGGGAGATGGCTTTGCGGGACAGTGGAGATGGTTGTAGCTGCTGCTGCTGCTGCTGCTGGAGCTGCTGCTGGCTTGCAGTAGCTCCAGTCCCTCCATTGCTGCCTGCCGCGACTGTTGCCTTGATGCTCATCACAAGGAGGCACTGCGGACAAGTGCAGGCGGGAGGAGGCGGTGTGCTGGCCACACCGGGGCTTGCTGGCCATGACTGGGATTTTGGCAAAGTACCAGTGACCATTGGGTAGACCATGTCAAGGCGGCGGCGGACACGGCGTTTGCGCTGCGTCTGGCGGTTAATCTGCCCCATCGTGCTGAAGTCGATGATGTAACAAAAGCCAATGGAAGTGAGATCGATCCAGGGATGCTGTTTCTCAAAGGCATGCTGGATGGTGATACCCACCTCCATGTCATACGGTGTCCAGGTGCCATTGTCATTCTCCCACTCCCAAACCACGCCCTTTCCTGGGGCTGAGGATGGGCCATAATAGCTGCGCCGCACGGGGCGAATGGTGCCTGGGAGGAAGAGAATCAAAGGTACTAAGAGGAAGGAAGTCAAATATAGCTCTGAGCCACAGGAACATACACGGGTAGTTCTGCAGGGAAATGGATCTTTACCAAATGAGCTCCAGCCAATGAAGGGAGCACTGGTATAGCACAATGGCTATGAATCCCAGGCTGAAATGTCACATCATTCACAGGCAAACTCATTTTTCTCAGCATCAGCTCCCCACCTGCAATATGGGGACAATATTAATAGCCTACCTTACAGGGCTGCTGATGCAAAGAACACAGTGTTGTGCTAAGGTATGCGACACCCTCCTAACACATATTGTTGAAGGGAAAATAAGGGGCAATGGAGGTAAATGGGTGTGATTATTATAACTGGGCATGTGGCTGCACCCACTTATGGCATAGAATCAGAATCATAGAATAGTAGAGTTGGAAAGGGCCATGAAGGCCATCAGTCCAACCCCTGTTGTTGCAGGACACCAAGTTACACCACCCCATTCAGATGACTGTCCAGTTTCTTTTTGAATGCCTCTAGTATGGGAGAGCCCACCACCTTTCTAGGCACCTGGTTCCCGTTGTATTGCTCTGACAGTCAGGAAGCTTTTCCTGATAGCTAGCCTGAATCTGGGTTGCCACAACTTGAACTGGTAATATTCTGTGTCCTATGGTTATTCCCATAGAAGGCTCAGCAGGGTGGTCCCCACTCCCTGAACTTGTGCTGTTCCAATGCTTCATGCAGTGTTCCAACTTGGCTTGCCAAGTGACAGTCTGTGAAAACTAGGACTGAAGAGTTCCATTTTTTTCAGGCCCACTCACACCCATCCTGCAACAGGGAAGGACATAATAATTGGAGGTTGACCAGCAGCCAGTTATTGGTGTGGGAAGCTGACTGAATTTGGAGTATCAGCAAAATCCAAGCAAAGGAGGAATGAATAAGCAAAAATAGCCTGTGGGCTCAATTTCTTTTCAATGCATTCTTTCGTCGGAATATGCAGTGTCCAAGCAGGCTACTGTAGAATCTCTCTCCTTCTCCACTTGGCTTTTGCCGTAGAGGAGATGTGCACTGTGATTGAACCTAGGGCCATGGTGAAAGTTTGGTATTTCTATTACTCACACGATACAATTGTGTCAATTATATGATAATGCATCATAATATATTGTGCATTACTGCACAATATGTAACTGACTGCTTTCTATGTAGATCTGCAAATCAGAGATTACTTTGGTACATCAACGAAGCAATTCCTGAGTACGTGTTAGTGATCCTGTAAATCAAACTGAACTCCTTTTCCCATATTTTTCAGAATCTCAGTGTTTTGCTTTAAAACAAATTTCTAATCCTTACTGTGACAGAGAAAAATGTTAAAGATGTGAGTAACTCTCTCAAAAGGAAAGGAGGGGGCAAGACTTACAGTTGTGTTTTAGTAAACATAATACACATTTCTACTAACATGTTAGGAGGTTCCTGGCATTTATTTCACCATATTTACAATACAAAAGTATCATACAGAATTGTGACTGACCAACTCTTTCCAGCAACACATTTGCACACTGGAACAAACCTGCACAGCTGCCACTGCCCCCTGCATGTATTGCTGCCCATGTGAACCACTAATCCTCAGTCACCCAGTCTGCATGTGTTTTCCACCCTCTCTTAATGGCTACTTTCTTGCCAAAAAACTCCAACCCTCTGAATCAGAATAAAGTACGAAAAGTAAGGAAATGCAGGTTCATTCACGCACCTTCCCTTACCAGGTCTACATTACAGTCCTGTTTTGTGTTCTCTCTCCTTGCTTGTATTCAGCTTTTTAGTTTAGGATTGCAGGTGTCACTGAAATAACAACTGGGAATGGCTGAAAACCAAACCAAAACAAACACCGGTAGAAAATAGGGAAATTCACCTCTGTGGTTCCATAAATAATCCTTTCACTAAATGCTTCTTACTTCTTCTAAGTAAAGTCACATGAGGCTTTAAGTACACAACCATTATTTGATAACAATCATAATACCTAGCATTCACTAATTATAACACAATCATTAACTCCTGCTAGTGGCATTCATAAGAAAGGCGCCCACCAGCTATTTTCTAACAAAAGAGGGTCATGGGACTCCTGATAAGAGAATCATACCCGGAGACAAATATTTATACAACCAGTAGAGGTTAATAACCACATTTGTTCCACCTATGGGCCCGTGGAAGCAGAAAATTATTTTTGAGAGTTTATACAGCCATACACAGCTGGGAGTGTTCACTAGAAAAAATGTACATCATAGGAACATGAAGTATTTGTATCTGCTTTATTTAAAAATATCTAGCTCACTATTTCTTTCCACTCTTGAAAGATGCTCAGGAGGTGGAGGGAGAGGTACAATAAATTAACAACTATAAATACTAGTCATAAAAACACAGGCTATCATAGCAAATAATATATGAGTCTTCCCAGTAATATATGAGGTTACAAGGTAGCCTGAGCTTCTGACGTACTGCCCTATTTCACCCACAGAACTTTCCAACAAAGATTCCAGGACTGCTTTATCTATGCCAGTAGAGTTAATGGGCTTAAAGATAATCTGATTAGTTACATTAAATCCATGGTTCTCATGTGTGGTGGGTAAGCCTTTCTAAGGAGGTGCACACATTTGCTGGAAAAACTGCAAGCCCAGCTTGCATTATCTTTGATTTCACCCCCACATGATGCAGAATGGAACTCTTATGAGGAAGGTATGAGTTCTCAACATTACCTTTTCCTCATAATACTAAAGAGGAACAAGGTGCAAAGGAGAAGTGGCAGGAGGGGAGGAATACATACCCTTTCCCATTCCTGCCATTCTGTGCTGCAGACGGTCCCAAGGCGTGGCCTCAAAGGCATATGGCTGAGCTACAACTTAGCAGGTCTTAAGGGTGTTAGGAAAAAAGCATGATGCATTAGTTAAACTATGAGGCCTGAAAGGGTTAAAGATCACTGTGCACCACCAGTTGAATGCAATTATTGTGACTCTGTACAATAGTTTCTTTTGACTCAGTTTATTGGATATCAAGAATCACGAGACCTGTTAAGGGACACAGCATGCAGGCAGAAGAGAGATGGAATAAAGATGGATCCACACTCAAAGATGGCCATATGGGAGGGCCAACAACCCATAGTCAGTTCAGTTAATATGATGAAGTACAGAAGAAGTCGACCCAAAGTTAATTAATATGGGTAATACTGAGACAGTGTGAAAGCTGGACAGTGAAGAAAGCTAACAGGAAGAAAACTGATGTGTTTGAAACATGGTGCTGGAGGAGAGGTTTGCAAATACCCTAGACCAGTAGTGGCGAACCTATGGCATGTGTGCCACAGTGGGCACGGGGAGCCCTCTCTGTTGGCATGCGAGCCAAGTCACACCAGCATCACTCCTGCAGCCGAGCATCGGATAACACTGCACATGGGGGCCATGCACATGCTCGGAAAGGAGTAGTGGTACCAGGTGATGACACCACAAGCCACAACTTATTAGCTGCAACTTGTCTGAGCTTTCAAATGGCCGGTCAGTGTGCTGCCAAGGATATATATATATTTGCTTAGACTGGCTGTGAGTTGTTTTTTCTAAATTAAAACCTCAGTATTCAGGTTTTATTGTAGTGTTGGCACTTTGCGATAAATAAGTGGGTTTTGGGTTGCAGTTGGGGCACTTGGTCTCTAAAAGGTTCGCCATCACTGCGTTAGACTGATGGTGAAAAATGAAAAGATGAAAAATTGAATGGGTCCTGGATCAAATCAAACCAAAACTTTCTAGAAGAAGCCGAGACCATGTGTCAGAGGCAGGGAAGATGCAAACACAAACGTGGCCATCTTCCCCACACGAACACGATCACGGCCATTGTCCCCACTCGAACATGCTCTGACATGTGGTTGCAGTGCGGGAAAGATGGCTGTGATCATGTTCATCACCCAACGCAGAGTCTGCAAATGGAAGCAAAGTTTTGCCAACTTTTTGTTCTCGAACCAGATTGTTCACAAACAGAAGCGTTTGTGAACCGAGGTATTACCGTAGTGAGACATTAACTTAAGGCACAGGAAAACAAAGTCACATGCAGTCATGCTTTTACTGTACTTTATATAATTAGGAGAAAATATTCATTAAACTAAAATGTAGAAGGGAGATCTGCAGAATTGGTGGAAAAGGGTGCACCCATCATACCTCCCACAGTAACGTCATCTTCTATGCCCTCTCCTCATCTCCTTACCCCAGAACCTCCCTTCTCAGCCCCATTCCTTACCTTCCAGGTAATCTCTCAGGGCCAAATTTGATATTCTGGGAACTGCCATGTGTGTGCATCATATGTCTAGCATGGCTCAAATCTCACGGCTGGAGTAAGAGGTCTTGGAAAGTATTCAACAGTGGCCCAGCACCACTGCTAATGTAAACAAATGCATACAAAGCTTAACTAACTTAGTACAACTGTCAGCACAATTATACCAGGGTGATGGAGAAAAGCAATCATTTGCCAACATTTGGTCTTGATGCTCTTTTGGAAGCAAATTGCGATTTTTCCTGCAGGTCCAGAAGAAAACTGTCAGAAAAGATCGAATGGGGGGGACGGTGTTAATGTAAAGGCAGATAAAGTTTTGCTCTCTAATCTGTTCATGCCTGATGTATGTAAGAATAAGGTCCACCTCACCTGCTCTTTTAAATTTAAACAAGGTAGACACAGGAATAGACAAGCATGATGTCCTGTCACATCTGACCACTAACTCAACAATCTCCATTCTACCTCTTGCCTCAAGTGCTAATCGCTCCCACTTTTTTTAAAGGGGGTTCAATATGCTAATTTTTGGTTTGCGCATGTCCTTTCTCGACTGATGTGGTTTAGAATCTAAACCAGCCTATTTAATAATCCTGGAGCTTAACTACTTCACAATCTCACCTCAAGATTCTCCTGCTACTCTTCAGCACCCTGGTTGACAAGCACGGAGGAGTGGTGGTACAACCCTGCTATTTCAGTATTTACTAATAAA